ATTTATGAATGTAAGTTAGGGATCTTAGATTGTACACGCTTTGCGGGTTAGGGACTGATGTGAATGTACAATATAGATGTAAAGCGCTGTGTACATTGACATTGTTATATAAGTACCATAAATAAATTGTGGCATTGAAGCACACCTGGCCCGGCAGTGTTCACTGTTCTCCTGAGGAGGGAAGGGGTCCTAATGCTGGCACTAAAACTGGGATTTGTGGAGACACTCTCCTATTCTGAGGTGACCAGGGGGGTAAACACAGCGGACGTTGTGGAGGAGGCTGATGACCCTGCAGGAGGGGAGGCCCCAGAGCAGGTACCAGATCCTAAACCTGATGAAGCTGCAGAGGAGACTCAAGCCTTGGTAGTTGGGGCCTCTGAGCCGGAATCTCTGGCAGTGGAAGGTGGTAGGGTGAGCTTGGAGGCGGAAGAGATGGATTTGTCTAGGGACACTCTGAAGCAAAGGCTGGAGGGCCTTGAGGCAATTCATGCCTCCCAAATCATCAAAGAGTATCCACGCACTGGGCAGGTTTTGGAGTCAGACTCCTCAGTACATTCTACAGAGTCCTTTACAAGCACTGGCCAGGTGGAAAGCTTGCAGACAGTGATGGGATTTTCGTTAACATGCTCCAGACATTGGGGAGGATAAAAGTGGCATGGTTGGGATGACAGGTTCCAGAATAATTTTTTTTTTTTTTTTTTTTTTTTTGCAGTCCTATGTGGATAAGTATCTCCTCTTTGAACGTTCGTAGTATTCGGTCGGCGCCCAGAAGAGCTGCTGTTCTGAAATACTTGTCCTTGGTGCCAGGTAACATTAATTGCATCCTGGAATGCAACATTAAAGAGGAGCCCTGAAAGAATGTATGGACCTGTATGGTCAGAGGGTACTGGGGGGAATGAGGGGGTGGGGGTTCTTTTTAAAGGCTGGAGGTTCACAATTATTGATGTGGTGCATATTGAAACCCTGAGTTCATGTATTGATCTTTGTTTAATTTCCAGAGACTTCAATCCTGATTCTTTTTTTGGTTCATCATGTGCCGTTCACGGACCATGGCTGGATAGAGTGTTGTGTGAGTATGGAATCTGATAAAGTGTATGGGTGAGGTGTATGGAAGTTGCACGTGGAGTTGCTTGAGGATGTGAATGTAAGGGAAGAGTATTGTGTGATGTTTGAAAGGTGGAAGAGAAAGAGGTTGGAGTTTAGGAGTGGGAGATTGGACAGTATGAGTGGAAAGTGTGTAGGGGGAGCGTGAGAGTTCTGGGTGTGAAGTTTGAATGTGATTTGTTTGGGAGAGAAGTTGGGAGGATGTGGTAGGTAAAATGCACAAAAATTAATTTTTGGTCTTTAAGGACTTTATCATTTGAAGGCAAGATATTAATCATTACACCTGTAATATTACCTATCTTGCTGTTCTTGTAGCAGGTTTTTCCTGGACAGGATAATGAGAAAAATAGTTAGGATGGTCTTCCAGTTCTTCTGGTCTTCTGGGACTGAAAAGCGAAAAAGTAATTATGTATAAGTAGAATGGTGGTAAGGGGATGGTATGTGTGGAGAGATTCTTGTTTGTACAGTATGTGGGTATGTGTGTGAAGTTGTGTAAGAAGGAGAATTTGGCAGGTTGCATGCAAAGGTATGTTGGTGGGAATGTGTTACGGAAGTTTGGGTGGTGCGAGATTGATTTGACAAAGCCTATGAGTTTCAAACCCTATGGTTTTATGTATGGATAGAAAGGTGTAGAGAAGTTTGGGCTGAATGATGTGGAGAAAGAATTGTGGTATGAATGTAAGAAAGTGATAAAGGTATTGGATGGAAGAGAAGAAATGGAATGGATTGGAGGCCTGGCTGTGGTAGAGAGTGAGAGAGCATGGAAGAATATGTGTATGAAAGAACTTGAAACTAGGCAGAAAGATATTGTGTGGATGGGAGTGCATGGCTGTTTGCCAGCAGGGGTATTTTAGAGAAGGAGCGGTATGGCCGATATGAAAAAAATGTCCGAGAAGAGGGTTTTCATGTTTTTTGGGAGTGTGGTTTTGCTAAGGATGTATGGAAAAGCCTAGAAAGGATGGTCGAAGGTCTGACTGTGGTGAGGAAGCTGACGTATGAGATGGTGTTGTATGGTCTGTGGAAGTTGGAAAAGAAGGAAACAAGAGTGTTGTGAATGTTGCTGAGTTGCATGAAGGAATGTCTGTGGGATGCGAGAAATATTGTGGTGTTTAAAAAAGAGTATTTGAGTGCGAGAGAATGTATGGCCATGGCCGGTTGTTTGGATATGGTTATTTTGACCATGTTAAAATGGGTACAGAGGAGGCCAAACAAATTTGGTGTTTTAAGTCCTGGAAAGAGTGGACTGCCGTTTAACCTTTTTTCCATTCACTAGCAAATATCTTTTTTTTTTTTTTTCTTGGAAGTCCTTTCTGCTGTTCCTTTCGTTGTAAGAGCCTGACAGACTTTTGGATGATTATTAAAGTCAAGAATATGGTTTCCTTTTTGTTCGTGAACCCAAGAATATGATCATGTCTTTTTTTTTTTTTTTTTTTTTTTTTTTTTCTCAGGTGGCACACAAAATGGTTGAGGGGGATTATCATAAGTAGGGAAAGTATAGGTGGCTAGGGATAGACAAATGGTTTCTTTTTACATGTGAATTTATATGTTCCTTTTGGAAGAAACCTGGAAGAAAACACAGAAGTATTCCAAAATGCAATGAAGATGAGAATTGCACATATTGTTTTGCTTCCTTTTCACAAATTTGCTGTTTTATTTATTGTAATTGGAAAAGGGGGAAAAAAAGTGCAATGACTGTAGAAATTGCATGTGTTCCCTTTCTTGCAAATTGCTGTTTCTTGTTTTGTAAAAATGTGTTTTCTCTTGTCCATGTATTATGAAATTCTTGTTTTTTTTTGTGTGATTGTATTATGGAGAGAGGGAGATATATATAATTTATAAGACTTATAAAAGGGACCCCTTAGACTTGTTCAATCCACCAACAGTAGCTGACCACCAAGTACAAGGTCAGGTGCACTCAGGGAGAGAGAGCAAATATGCTAATTAGACAAATGCTCTCCCTAAGTTAAACCAGTATGGTCAAAAAACATAATTATTGATGGAAGCAGGGGATGGTGAGAAGGGTAATCCATTTGATCTGTGTCCAATCCAGCAAACCAAGTGGGCATGTGGGAAAAGTAGGGGTTTTCTCCTTATGGAGGGTGTCAATGATGGTTTTCTGCACAACTGTCAGGTCAGCAGTCTTTCCCATGATTGTGATTCCTACTGAACCAGACTGAGAGACCATTTAAAGGCTCAGGAACCCTTTGCAGGTGTTATGGCTTAATTAGCTGATTAGGGTGGGACACGTTGAGCCAAGAATATTGCACCTTTTCACAATATTCTCATTTTCTGAGATTGTGGATTTGGGGTTTTCATAAGCTGTAAGCCATAATCATCACAATGATGACAAATCACAGCTTGAACTATCTTGCTTTGCATGTAAGGAGTCTATCTCATATATTAGTTTCACATTTTAAGTGGCAATACTGAAATAAATGAACTTTTGCACGATATTCTAATTTTTCGAGTTTCACCTGTATGTACAGGAAGTGAGGTTCATTCTTTTAAACAAGGACAGAGATAAAAAAAAACAACCACAGTTCTAAACGTTCTGCCTTTTTAAACCTTTAAAAACTAACTCATGCCATAACTTTTTTTTTTTAAGTTTCCAGACTTTTTTATTTTAATGTATTTATTTAATTTTTCTTCTAAGCTGCCTTGAATATATCCATGCAGGGTCCAATTAGATGCAGACATATTGTGTTGCCATAGCAGAATCAAGGTGCGGTTGCTATGGCGATAGGTTTTCTTTTTCCGTGACAAGGTCCGATATTATCAAATCCGATCCGTGCTTTTGTTAATTAAATTGCTCATTTGGGAGGTCATAATGTGCTCTTCAGAATATGAGAAATTATCTTTAATCCCTTGGGGTATTTGTCGGTGGGAAATCACATCTAAACGCTCTACTTAATGTAATAATTTATCATGGATCCAATACTCCCTCTCCACTGTTTCTATAGCTTCCTTTGGAGATTGAATGGGGAACCTTTGGCTTTTCATACTTCAAGGAAGGAAAATCTTATTTACTATAAAACAGATATAATGTAGCTCAGCAACATGACAAGGATTGGAATGTAATGTACTTATTTCATACACTTGGGAATAAATTGCCATTCTATTTCTTTTTTTTTTTTTTTAATTGTTTTATTTTTAGGTAAAAGTTAAATTATAATGGTATATCTAGTAGTTAATCACATTTGGCTGGACTTGTTCTGTAATGATAAAAATATTTAACAGCTTATCCAACCTGCTTCTCCAGTTCTAATGAGCTTGAAGAACTTACCCAAGTATTCATACCCATATAGAATACTATAAATACTGGGGTATTTTATGACACTCACTAGAACTGAAGATATTGTTTTTAATAACTTTTTTATAAAAAAAACCCTAAAAATTAGATCCAATGTCAATTACTGTGAACAAATAAACATGTCGGCAGAGTCATCCGGTGGCATTACTGGATGACCACCACCCTCATGTTTACCTGTCATTCAGGCAGTGTCCCATCACATGCTGAATGACAGGTAAACATGAGGGCGGGATCATCTAGTGATGTCACTGGATGATCCTATCCCCAGGTTTACCTGTCATTTACATGTGATGGGACACTGCCCGAACGACAGATAAACAAGAGGGCGCAGGTCATCCAGTAATGTTTACCTGAGCCCAATCTCAATCCAGCGATGTGCACAAGAGAAGTGGCTCTCCTGGGTCTCTCCCTCCTTATTGGCTGAGACCTAACACTGGGAGCCATTGCCTCCCCTTTGTGTCAATCACAGCACGGAGGATGGAGCTTTGGGGGGGAATAGTTCAATGCATTGTGTGTCTTATAGACACACAGAGGTGGCTAAGGGACGTGGAACTGCGAGTGTCCCCAGAGCAATCAGCAGGGGGCCCAAGAAGAGAAGGATCAGGGATGTTCTGTGCACAACCATTGTACAGAGCAGGTACCATATTTTTCGCTCCATAAGATGCACCTGACCATAAGATGCACCTAGGTTTTAGAGGTGAAAAAATTATCCTAAACCAATGGACTGCAGACACAGTACAGGAGATAACCAGAGACTGTGGACCTCCTACCAGAGATGACCAGAGACTGCGGACACAGTACAGGAGATGACCAGAGACTGCGGACACAGTGCAGGAGATGCCCAGAGACTGCGACACTGCAGGGGATGCCCAGAGACTGCGGACACAGTGCAGGGGATGCCCAGAGACTGCGGACACAGTGCAGGGGATGCCCAGAGACTGCGGACACAGTGCAGGGGATGCCCAGAGACTGCGGACACAGTGCAGGGGATGCCCAGAGACTGCGGACACAGTGCAGGGGATGACCAGAGACTGTGGACCTTTGGGGAGGGAGGGGGAGCGGGTACTTGAATTTGACAGGTACCCGCTCCCACTTCCACAGAGTTGTCCTCCATTTAGTGTGGGCACCCGGCTGACAGCCGAGTGCCCACTGCACATGCGCAAGAAGCGCTGCGCTTTGTGAATGGTCCGGTCCCAGATGGCAGGTCCCAGAAGACGCCTGGCCATTCACAAAGCGCAGCGCTTCTCATGCATGCACAGTGGGCACCCAGCTGTCACAACCGGGTTCCCACACACTAAAGATGCTGGCATCGGAAGACTACAGCGCTGGACCGAGGAACAGGTAAGGTCCTGCTGTAGAGAAGAGCTGAGCAGCCGACCCGGTATTCTGACATGGTGGAAATACTGGACCATATTCACTCCATAAGACACACTGACATTTTCCCCCCATTTTTTTTTGGGGAAAAAAGTGCGTCTTCTGGAGCGAAAAATACGGTAAGTTTAACATGTTTGTTATTTTAAAAAAAATTGGAACCTTTTAGTATCTCAATAAGGGAGAGTTCTGTTTCAAATGTTGCTTTATTATTTGACATACCTCCTTAAACCAGGGCTGTCCAGGCAGTATAGTCACCTGCAGATTTGCCACCATCCACAGACACCTTAACTCATCAATAAGACATAGAATCCAATAAACTTTTACTTCAGACAATTGCAGTACACAAGATGTTTTTTCCAGTCTGTTGTAGTGTGAGAAGGCAATGAATGAACTTCCCAGTACCAGTCTCTTCAAATAACTAACACTGACTGAGGGAACATGGAAAAAATGGGGGAGAGAGGACTAAACAGGAGGGGAGGACAGAAGGAAATACCAAGTAACATAAGTAAACAAGTTGTAGTGGCTCAAAACCTCCACTAGATGTCAACATACTACAGAAGAATAATAACCTAAAGCAGGTCAATACAACACAGAACAATTATATAAAAGTGGGGCAGAAGAGGGAGTGAGTCACTGACAGACTGCAGAAGATTAATGCTTCCGGCAGTTTCTTACTCGGCACTTCAATGTTCAGCTGGCATGTGGCAAATCAATATTGAGACACCAACCAAAAGTGAGAAATGTCTTTTGAAGGAATACTGAAATAAGTAAAAATATGTTTTCTTCTGTTTGCCTGAAGTTATTTATCAAAGACTAATTAATAAATCTAAACTAACAAAGGCATGCGATGACTATCTGAGATTTAAGAGTAAGACAACTTTTCTTTTTTTCTGGCACATTTGGAAAATGAAGCAGATCTCAAAATCATTATAACGTTCTGAAGCTCCTTTCAGGAATAATTGAAGAAATCTGCAATGGGGCATTGTATCAAGCGTCATTAAAGATTAATACTGTGCCCTACCTGAGTCTGCGTAAGTTATGGCTTGGAATAGCAAGGGACTCTTCGGTGAATTTTGATGAACTGCTTCAATAAGATATTTGCAAGCTGTAAAATCCAACAAAGTTTTTTTGGGGACTCGATATTCTTGAAGCGCGGATTGTTGTTTATATACATGGGAACGCTTGGGAGCTTGCAAATCTGAAACGAGACGTTTAGGAAACTCTGCAGATTTACATTTTGATGAAGTACATCGGGGGTTTAGAAAACTCTTGAGTCCTCCTGTATTGTATACAAAATATAAAAAAAAGATTTGAAGATTTGAATTTTTCAACAATAAAGCAAGCTAAATACTGTTCTTATCTCAACTGGCCATATACCTTGACACTGATGCGTTTCTGGAAAGAATACCATGAATTGTGCAATGTAAGGGAAGTGCTACGTGATACGAATAAATGAGGGCAAGCTAAGGGAAGGAATACATGCTATGACTACATGAGGACAACGAAGGGAAGGCGACATGACATGACTACATGAGGGCAACGAAGGGAAGGCGACATGACATGACTACATGAGGGCAAGCTAAGGGAAGGGATACATGCTATGACTACATGAGGACAACGAAGGGAAAGCTACATGACATGACTACATGAGGGAAAAACTAAGGGAAGGCCTACATGCCATGACTACATAAGGGCAAACTAAGGAAGGCTACATGACATGACCACGTGAGGAAAAACTAAGAGAAGGCTACACAACATGACTACATGAGGCAAACTAAGGGAAGGCTACATGACATGACTACATGAGGACAATGAAGGGAAGGCTACATGACATGACTACAAGAGGACAACGAAGGGAAGGCTACATGACATGACTACATGAGACAAACTAAGGGAAGGCTACACGACATGACTACATGAGGCAAACTAAGGGAAGGCTAACAACAACATAACTACATGAGGACAACGAAGGGAAGGTTACATGACATGAGTACATGAGGGCAAACAAGGGAAGGCTACACGACATGACTAATGAGGCAAACTAAGGGAAGGCTACACGACATGACTACATGAAGAAAAACTAAGGGAAGGCGACATGACATGACTACATGAGGACAACGAAGGGAAGGCGACATGACTACATGAGGACAACGAAGGGAAGGCTACATGACATGACTACATGAGACAAACTAAGGGAAGGCTACACGACATGACTACATGTGGACAAACTAAAGGAAGGCTACATGACATGACTACATGAGGGCAAATTAAGGGAAGCTACATGACATGACTACATGAAGAAAAACTAAGGGAAAGCTACATGACATGACTACATGAGGAAAACTAACTGAAGGCTACATGACATGACTACATGAAGCAAACTAAGGGAAGGCTACATGACATGACTACATTAGGGCAAAATAAGGGAAGGCTACATGACATGACTACATGAAGCAAACTAAGGGAAGGCTACATGACATGACTACATTAGGGCAAAATAAGGTAAGGCGACATGACATGACTACATGTGGGCAAACAGGGGGGTGTTCAGCCCATCACTAAACTACATGATGGAAAACTAAGGGAAGGCTACATGACATGACTACATGAGGGACAACTAATGGAAGGCTACATGGCATGACTACATGAGGGACAACTAATGGAAGGCTACATGGCATGACTACATGAGGCAAACTAAGGGAAGGCTACAGGACATGACTACATTATTATTATTATTATTAATATACCGTATTTATAAAGAGCCAACAGTTCGCTCAGTGCTGTACATTACAAAGGGAGACAGAACATGCGACAGTACCATAACAATACAATGTGATACACGAGGGGTTCGAGGGCCCTGCTCCTTCGAGCTTACAATCTAGGAGAACATGAGAGCAAACTAAAGCAAGGGATTCATGAGATGACTACATGAGGGCAAACAAGGGAGAGGGCTACATGACATGAATACAAGAGATACAACGTAGGGTAGGCTACCTGACATGACTACATGAGGGCAAACTAAGGGAAGATCTACATGAGTTGGCTGAGAGGGACAAGATAAGGTTATTGATATAGGCTCAGACTGGCTAGTTTAGGAGGGGGGGAGTTTAAAAGCTTAAGAAAACAGAACGTTAGGGAGGCCATTTTGTGGCAGAAAAATCCCTTCCTCCTGTTCCTGCCTTCCCTTAGATAACCCTTACAGAATGGCTGAGTGGTAGGGATCATAAAGAGGTTCTTCATTTGTCTGTCCATTTACTTCACTCCCTCCCTCTGGCACCATCATTAATGCTTAGATGTACTGGCCATCAGGTCCTGACAGAGCCCTTCAACACATATGTGCACGTGCAGGATATATTCTGTGCGTGTGCAAGGGCAGAAAAGTTTTTGGGCTTATGTAAGGGAATTTGTCCCAAGCTTAGTAAACGAAGTGAAGCACTGCTGACGTCCATCATACAGTCGTATGCAAGCAAAAATGCTGTTTTTTCTTATTTTCCTAGCACCTGACTGGGTATTCTTTACAAAATGAAATATCACCTATTTCACTAACATCTGGGGTAACTTACCCTGTAAAATGCAACTTTCCTTGCAAAATGAACAGTCTATTTGCCTTTAGTAAATATATCCCATCCTGTTGTGTAATGGGCCACTTATGTGTTGCTAGAGGCTCACATTGTCATTACTGCTGCCATTCTGCAGTAGTAATGCAGCAATACTCGGAGCCCAAGCTGCGGTAAGTTGCCACCCCAGGGGGCGGATCCATGACAGCCTGGTCTCTGAGGAAGTGGTTGGAATAATTCTGGCCATTGTTGAACATGGAAGATTGAAGACATCTGGTGGTGGAAAGGAATCATTGCAGGGGAGGGTGGCTAGCTCTGGATTTAAAGTGGCTGTAAACCCCTGACATGAAATATGAACAAAGCATATCAGTCTGTAACGTGTTCTTGTCTTAATCCAGAGTACTAAGTGTCACTTCTATTTGCTGCTTCATTCCTCTGCTATCTGTATGAGTCATTTCTGATAGATTCTCCTGACACCAAGAGAAAAAAAAATGATGGGGAGGGAGCTCCGGCACACAACCTGTGATTGACAGACACTATTCTGTATGAAGGGGGTGTGTCTCTGCCCTCCAATAAGCTCTCCGAGCTCTCCTCACTGAGCTCTTAAGTGTGTAAATTCATCTCCCTTCCCCCTGCTTTCTAGCAGCTCAGACAAGCATTATAAATGTTGTACTTCAAATGGCTATAGAGAAAAGAAGACTGCAGACAAACAGATACAACTCATGTAGGAGGACTTATTTCCATGTATCACCTGAGGCCAGTCACTTGACTGGGTATATGTAAGGGTTTACAACCATAGCAGAAAAACAGCTTTTTTATTGTTTTTGCTATTACTAAACGATTAAAATGTATTGACACGTACAGTATAAGTATTTAGAAATCACATCTTCGGTTGTTGTGTTCTTTTTAAATTACAGATATTATTTCTTTGTAATATAGTTAAGCAAAAAAAAAAAAAAAGCCACATTTTGCAATAAAACCAATAAAAAGAAAGAAAAGAAGCATAGCAAGCTTCACAATTTCTAACTTCCTAAGCAGAGCTATTGCTGGGTCCTCTCCGGGGAATTTTTCTCATTGCCGTTGAATCTCGGAATCGGGATGAGGAAGCGGTGCTGAAAACTAGTTTTGGCATTTGATAACCTCTCCAGCACTGGGAAATAATACACAAAATATTTACGCCCCTGTTTTATTTTTTTTTCGGCGGATGACAGCCTGGCGCGGTTGGCCTATTGTTTGAGCGG